AAGAAGCAGCCCTTGCTGAACAAACCCCTGTGCCCAGGTGTTCAGCCTGGGTCTGGCTCCATGGGCCTGGGCAAAGTACCACAGCTGGCCTGCAGCTGTCTGCAAACAGCTGTCCAAGTCAAAGCTTGCAGAAGACTGGACGACCATTTGGCAGGTGTGCTCTTCTGTGCTGACCAAATCCCTTCTGTCAGTCATGATCTATTCTGTATAAATAATCAAATATTCAATASAGTCTGACTTTTAAGTGGGTCAGATTGAAAGTGAATATGATGAACACTGCGGTAACAGTCTCACTCCTTAATATAACATTTAAACAGAGGAAAAATACCACCACCTTCTATCTCCATCGCACAAAATACTCAGTAATACACCAATACACCAYATGGGCAGACAAATAGAGCATTCTCCTGGAAAGTCAGTGGAAAATGGCATTTACTTTGGTTTCTCAAGTCCTGAAAAGGAAACATGAGAATCCTCTGCACTATAATCTCCTGAAAATGGCATGTTTTCTTCAATAAGAAAATTCTGTAAAAAACCTGGGAGACTGTCACTTCAGTAAAATTCAAATGGAAAATAAGAACACATTAGGAGAAAACTGAATTCTTTTGATAACAAGTTTCTTCTCACTACTTCTCAATTTTCAGTTCAGCCACCATGTTGAAAACTCAGTTGCACTTAACCTATCCCTGAACTCCCCATGAAATTATGGCCATTTCCTAGCAGCCACATCAAGTGACTTTAAAAGGGGCAAGAGATATAGGTCATTCCTGGGTAACATTCTATTCCATGAGCAAACKGTATGGAAGGAACAACAAATTTGTAACTGGAAAAACAATTTCATGATACCATGGACTTACAGCCAAGCTATCAAAGTACAAAAGCTCATGTTGCAAGTATAACTGAGTGGGGTGGTTAYGTATCAGCTGTAAGCATACAAATGAGGATATCCACAGAACTATTTAAGCTCTTAAACTAAATCTCTGTCTCTCTGTATACTTAGGAACAGAAGTACAAAAAAACCCAAAAGCCAAGAGGTCATTGTGGTAAATGCAAAAAGCTTTCCAAGTTATTGACTGCCTATTATTTGAACAAGTCTGTGATATGGTCAATAAGGTTAACTTTTAAAGAAGAGAAAAAGCCCAACATGCTCTCCCCCTGCATGTGCATCTTATTTTTCTGTATTATTTATTTGCATTTCCTTTTGGCTTTTTTGGCACCATCCTTGATAGATTGTACTTCTGCACAAAAGCCATTCAAAAAAAGCCCTGAACTGACAATGTTAATTTGGAGATGGCAAAGAAAGAACATTTTAAAAGCTGTAACATAATGCTTCACTCTTGATTTTAAAGAACTTTAGTTATACAGTCTAATCCCAAGGTTTTCAGCAGAGGTCTAGAAACATTGGTGCAACTAAGATGAATGTTATGACACACTAGAATCCAGGTTCAAAAGGAAGCATCTGTTTTATTCAGCTCACCACAACTGCAATAGGTATTTAATCCGGAAAGGTCAACACAACATCCATATATACAAACTGGAACATTTCCAACACCCTATGACATTAAAATCCTTTTTAAATAGTAGAAGTTACTTAAAAAATGTAATGACACAGTGTCAAAGATATAACACATGCAGAACTGTGCACAAACAAGTAGGCCAATGGCCTATATTTCTGAAGAAACCTTTTAAGTATTTCATATTTAATTCAGAATTCTAATTAAGGCTAAGAACTATTTTAAATAATTATGTTTCAATTATATAAGACAATGGTGACAAAATTAAAACTTAGATCTAATCCAATAAATATCACTAGGTCTGCTAGTGTGGAGGAGGTGATAAATATCCACTTTCAGCTTTGAATTTGTCTTTTCTCTGTGTTAAATCCTCTTATACATTACAAAAAATCCCAGTTTTCGTTTTCTCTGTTCTGCCTACAGCCACACCACCTCTGTGTTTCCCATCTGTCTACTCCTTTCTTGCTGTTCTTCAACTAAATAACTCCCCAAAGACAYGTCTTGGCTGTATGCCAGTTTAACTTGGCCAGCTCCAACACTAGGCTAGAAAGCTGCAAGTAACCCAGCTGCTTGGTTCCCACCAGGCTGACAAGCAGTCTTGCTACAGCTTTCTTAACTTAATCTGTCTCCAGTTTCAGATTACAGGCTTTAGGTATACCTCTTTGGAGCATTAATGTTTATTTCTAACTAACTCAGCATTCAATACCATAAAATAAAAAAATCCAGTACATACTTCAAATACCAGTATTAAGGAACAATCTCCCTTATTCCCCCATATCACTCAGACTCAGTATTTGATTCTTTTAATGGTTCACTATCCCATCTCTGAGGCCTAAGGGCATTCTCCCTGCTCGGCATCTTTATCCACGCTTTCAGAAATTCAAATAAACAACAACTACGATAGAATGCATTTTCAACACAGAACTTCAACCCAGCACCAAAAGGAAACATTTAWCTCTCATTATAACAATTTGTAAAACTGCAGTAAATAAAAGTTTGCTGTCACAGTGGCTGATATTTCATTTTCTGTACCATATCTTGGATGAAACTACTAGACAAGATATATTCCCAAATATTTATATCCCTCAAGGAGTCAGCTCCTATGCGTGTTCTTTCAACTGACGAATTCTGTTCTGAAGAGTAAATTATCAAATTCCTTTCAGCAAAGGCCCAGCTGAATTAGTCCTAGGAAATTATGAGCACAGAGATATTTCAGTCACTTTGTTTACCTTATACATAGCAAACCTGGCAAAAATGGGATATGAGTCAAAGGCTGATAAAGGCATTTCCATGAAAGAGTGCAACACTCAGCACTAAAGCACATGTTGCTTGAAATGTAAACATGAATCCAGAGCTAGCCACGATTGTGTCTGCTTCACTATACATAATCACATCAAAAAAGGAAGGTAATCAAATCTSTTACCCCAAGATACTGCCCATCTTGGACAGTCTGGGACACAGCTAAATTGCCATGCCCACATTAACACAGCCTTACTAAATGGAAGCTTTTTCTGCAACAACTTATTGCTGCAACTAAAACCATTGCTGCTTCACAGCCATCAGGAATAGGCAAAAATTATAGTTTATTCTTGTCACAATTTCTTTCAGATACAGTGTCAGAAACAGTTGCTCCCCAATGCTTGGCTTCGTGCCTTTGATGACTAAATAACTAATTGCACTTGACCCTTCTGAATTGTATAACCTTTCTGATCAGACTGTTTGGAATGTTACATCAAATACAGCCAGGCAGTCCTCTCCCTAGTCACTTTGTTGCCTATTCAAATTACCAAGCATACTGTAATTTCAGAATAGACACTATAAATGTAYATGAAAAAACCTGGTCTCAGATCTGTTCAAAATCCCATGAACAGTGAGCCACATGTGATGGTTCTTGCAATACCAATATGCAGCTTTCCATTTACACCATGAAGTAATTTTATTTAGATCCTGAATGCTTCCCCTTATGATAAGTGACAAACCGTTCATATCAGGACATCCGCTATTTCTTCCTTACTCATAATACGCTCTCATGTGGCAGAAAAACAATAGATGCAATCAAGACAATTCAATGTCTTAAAATGCATGTTGACTGATACATATGAATACGAGGTAGGGGAGCTGAAGCAGAGCTAAGTTTTCCAGAATGCAATTAAAAAATAAAATAAAACTCCACCTAGTGAATAGCCAGCCTACAGAAAACTGTAAGCACAGTTCACAACTTTAAATTGTGAACATGGGTATCAAACACCATTGTATTACAAAACTTAACTCTACAGATCTAGAACACGATTTTACAAGGAAAAGACTTTAAAAAAATAACTGGACTGACATTTGAAAAATATGACTACCAAAGAAGAAGAGTTTAGCTTTGCTTAAAAATGCTAGTAAGAGGTGGGAGGCAGAGATTAGTTTCCTCTACACCCTGAGAGGACTGAAAGCTGCAATTCTTACATCCAGAGTATAACAACCACAAATCTAGGCAAGAGCCTAGGTGAATCAATTTTCAAATCCTTTCYTGAATCTCTGTATGTGGGAAGAATGGTGCCATTTTTGGGGTTACCAAAATGCAGGGTCAGGATTGGACTTGATGATCCTTGTGAATCACTTTCAACTCACGATATTCTATGATCCTACAATGACAAACAGAATACTCAGCTGCAAATGAAAGGTCTTCTGTTTTGTCTCACTGATCTCAGTATGTSTGTGTATATCCTCTGCAACTTATATTTTAACATAAGCATTTGTATATATGAATACAAATATCTCATCTGATAACATTCAATAAATACACATTTTCTGGGCAGATGTGTGATGTCTTAGAACAGTAGTAGAGTCACTGTGGGTTTTACCTCCTATGCTTTGAAAGTTTTAACATAATTTTTCAAAAACCACCACAATTTGAAAGAGCCCATGAAGCACTCTCTCATTTAGCACAAAAATAATTGCACTTTTCCGAGATTCACAGAGCACTTCTTCTTCTAGCCACTAGCTGTACTTCCAACAAGATGCACACACCCAAAGGGAGCAACTGATGAGCCCAAAGATATAAGTGACTGAATCACCCTAAAATACCAAAGGCACTCACACACATTCAGTGTTGGCAAACACTGAAACATGGCATCAAAAATTACATTGTATATAATTTTAATGTCCTGAAAAGTTCATCCTTCTAAGAAATACCTTAATCTGACTAAGGAAAGACTGTTAGCAACTATCATATTTCTTCATACTCTATAGCTGCGCTGTGAGAGAACACCTAGGGGTTTTTTAAACAATGAAACCACCAGTTCAATTTATTACACGATATAAATAGCCTAGAGCATGTGGTTCCTCAAGACAAAAGGTGTAAGTGCTGTAATTCTCTGATTACATTATCAAGACTGGAATTACCCAGCTCCTTATGGTTATGGCTGCAGACAACATCCAATCAGTTAATCAAAGACAAGCCTAAACAAACAATAGGATGTCAAAAGTCACCAATCTTACCTGACAGGCAAATGTATGTTAAATATTCACCCTGACCCCCAGTAGCTAGAAAAGGAATCTTTTTTTTTGTTCTTCTTTTCACTTGAACAGCTCCCAGCATCCTTTCATCATGTGGAGCAAAAATTTCTTTGCTGATTGCAGATTTGGCATTCATTGTAGATCACAGGTATAGCAGACTGCTGCTCTCTAAAAATAAAATCATAAATATAAAACAACATCAGAAACTCTTAAGTTATATCAAAGTCCACTTAACTTACATTAAGTGCATTAAAACTTCTGACTTTCAGAGAAAGTTTCTAATGACTCAAAGAATTTAGAAAATTATCTCATATTCTTAGAGGCAGAATTTTTGAAGTGTTTAATTGTCTTCACTAAATTTGTCCTCCACACTTCTTAAATTTGCTTAAACTAGCTTGGCTTATTTTGGGCAGAAGCCATTCACACTAGCACTTYAGCATGTTGCAAAATCTCAGAGAAACACTCTGTTTAACTTCATGCAGCATAGAAATTTCATTAATTCCCCCTCTGATAACTGCACAGAAACTCATATCTGTGTCCCACATACACAGGGAAAGCACTGCAAGGGCACAGGGAAGGAGCACTGCGGTTGTGCTGGCACCAAAGAAGTCACGTTCACAGAAGACAGAGAAAGCTTCAGACTTGGTGAGACTGTTCCTTCAGGAGCACTGCTCTTGGTGACAGCACTTGACTGCACAGCTTTTGCACCTCTTGCAGCTTTAGCACCTCATGCCCTCTACTCCTCTGGAATTACTGACTGGGCAACTGCACARGAAAGTGTCAGAGACACCATCGGGGTCAATGCAGACAAAACCACACSTCTACTTTTGTGCTAAATAATTCTGATCCAGGTCAGCTCTTCAATGTGTTTCGTAACGAAACAGCACAGTTGACTTAAAAGAGACATTTGTCTCTCTTAGGAGAGACATAAGCATTTGTAGAGTGAAAAATTATTGTARAGAACAGGGAGGGAGAAGGGAAGCTGCTTAGACATGTGTCCCACAAAACAAACCTCACCACAGCTTATAGAAAAGCCTAACTAAAGGAGAAGGGACATTAACAGGTTCTTTGTGGAAACTGCAACTTCAATTAGCTCTGTACTGAAGTCTTGGAATGCATACACCGGCCCCCAGTCATGGAAACTGCTCAATGACACTTTTAATTTTCAAATAAAATGACATATCCACATACATTAATTTACATATTTCTGTAATATTAAGACTTTCAAGACAGATCTTTTTGACATCCTTAACTTTCTTAGAATGAAGATTATATTCGTACCAGAACTACCTGATAATTCTGCCTATGGGATCATTTGATATTTGCCCCAATTTAAAATGAAAGTAAATAAATTATAGTCACATTMGATTATGAAACTAACAGAGTCATGGATCCGGGTTTTTGTGCGCATACTATCAGCAAAGTCTTAACAGTGTCTTAACACTGTTAATTCCGCAACTGAGTTGCTGAATAGATGTTTTCAGACATTTTCTTAATGTTCATGGACTGCAAAATAAAAGACGACTTCAAAGATTACTCAGGGATGTAAAGGCTTCCTAAATTAAGAAAATATGCAAGCTTTTCTTACCTACAGTATCATAAAACATTAGTGGTCTATAACTTTGAAATTTAAATACTGTACTTCAAGGGTCACTTCAAGAGTATTAGAAGCAATAGGTTTCACTACATTAGGTAAGACAGTTGAACAGGCAAGCTAAACAAGAGACACAATCCAAATGCTGCTCCAGAGATTTCAMAAGTTTTATTTTTCACTTGTACACTGAAACTTATAGCATAAAACTAAGATTGCAACCACATATGCAATAACTAAAATAAACGCAAAACTCAGAAGATTTCATTAATATATGGCTCTCTGTATACACTCACTTATACATCTCTTAATGCAAGTGTTTTTATACACAACTGACATACAAACAAGACTTGATATATAGAGTCTAGCTCAACATAGTATCTGACACAAATTACACGAATTCTGTTTCAGTACAGGCACAGAAGACATGACACAGAATCATCAAACACTGCAGTTTATTTCTGCATGCTGTTATTGGCCTTGTCATTACGCTGGTTTTATATACATCCACCAGAAATTGTACACAGATAGACACCAYAGACATCAAATGCTGTGACTGAAATCTCCAACTGAAGTGTGCACTCCTGGCTTCAGGGATTGTGATCCTTCTGTTCCCAGTACTTCGGCTGACAACAGCTTCAGATGCCATATTCAAACAAATAATCTAACACAGTGTATACTTGACACGACTGCCAAATTTAATGTGAAAACTGACACTAACACAAACCACAGAAGCCTATTTAGTTAAAGAAGAAAACAACTAACTGTGCCTGTGTAGAAACAGACTTCTGAGATTGAGATGTCAATATAGTTTAAATAAAGTTGTTTTCCATCGGTCAAAAAAATCAGCAGCTGATTTCAAATAAGCAACTTYCTCCCTATGTACTAGAAGATGTGTGCAAAAGACCTCTGCTTAAATAAGTAAAGCCTTCCAAAGTTCCTTGTTTTCACAAGTGGACATAATACAGTCTTTGGCAGTTTTACTGAAAAAAAAAAAGACTTCCTCAAAGAACATGAATAAGCCTCATTCTTTCCCATTCTMCAACAGAACCCCTCTTCCCATTAGAAAAAACCCCAAACCACTGCTTGTACATGCACAACTTCATGAAGTATATGCAGATTTCTTTGCACAATAATGTTTTCTCTTGGCACACGTTCCCAGACAAATTCAAACAATCAGCAGTTTCCACTCATGGCCCATATAAACTCATGCACTGGAACATTAACATTTTCCTCCCATTTGTACTCATATACAAAATAAAATTCCCTTAAGAAACTGTACTGGAGGATATCTGAGCACCAAGACAATGCATCACTACTTGCAACATGGTCCCCCTCTGAGGTGAGAGGAATTTAAAAGTTTCAGTAAACCTAAGTGTCCAGAAAGAGAGACCTCATCATGCTGTGTTCCACATATTTAATTTCACTCAAATTATTRTAACAATGCTTTTGGCTGAACAAAGACCACATTTTCCTTCTGCAATTTTTTATTCCATCTATCACAGCATTATGGAACAGGGGGTCAGCATTTACACTGTGCATAACAGAAACACAAAGAGGGAATATTCCTGCGTGGATTTGAAAAAGTGTCTTCACTTTTTCAATAYGCCGCTTATTTACATCTTCTCGCATCTTTCTCTACTACAGTTCTTATCTGTTGTATTTCTAACACTAAAAACTCCCTCCTATGGACAGCTGACTATTCCTCCAGAAGTGAGTGAGGGGACATCAATTAAAGGCAATTTCTTAAAAGGAAGATTAAATATAAACAGTATAATTAAGCCAGAATCTCAGACTGGGTTTTTTTTTGCAGGCACATAGCAGCAAAAGGCTAATTTACTTTTACACCTGCATGTTTTATATGACTCTATGAAATATGTAGAAAAARGGAGTTTTACAGTATCTTTGTTGAGGGTATATGTATGCAGTAAGAACCAGGAAAACTAATCCTCAGAATGCAGAATTCAAATAGGAGTAAATAAGAAAGGTGAAATGAAATACAAAGCAAGAGATTGAAGAGGATGTAACAGTTTCCAAAAAAAAAAAAAAATGTTCAGTATGCTAAATAAACCTTGCTGTTTTCAAGGTTCTTTAGTTTAATCACAAACAGGGATGGCCTCACAGAACAGGCTAACCACTGAAATGCTGCCTGCAGTGTGAAATCATATGAGCAACCAACTAATCTTGGAATAGTAACTGTAGCAAGGACTCAAATCTGCTTTTAATAAAGACACTATCCTGAAAGAGGACATCTACTTTAGGAAATCACTGCAAGACACTGCTGCCAGAATAACAGCTTTTGCTATTGTGATAATTGTCTGGTATTTACTTGATGGAACTGTTTAAACTACTTTGAATATTACTGGTTATCAAAACCAGTGTTTGCTGTCATCTCAAACAAATAGCTAATACAAGTCTTAAAAAAGCAAAATATCATTTAAAAACCAAGGCAACTAATTTATAAATCTTTAAAGAACAAATATAAGAACATACAGTTTCTAGAAGCTGGTGTGCAATACATTTATTAAATGTAACTTTTTCCTGGAGAAGTAATAAATTTAATTAGCTCTGCAAACCAGGATCAAATCAGCAGATCAGCCTTACTTGAAAACAGTCAAGGTAAAACCTTTAAAATGCTTGAAAATGAAAAAAAAATCTTCTGTCATCCTTCTGTTTTCAAATACAACTTTGCTTGATAGATATTTATTTAAATTAGGACAATAGCAGCAACCAGAAAATTCAATTACTTCTATAAACATGGGTTTATGACTTTTAGAAGTATTTACTGGAAAAAAACTCAATCATCCTCCAGAGTTATTTGTAGGCTGTCACATTTCCAATTTATTTTTCCAAATAACCTCTCAGCTATGACTGGTTCATTTGAATAACATATTAATTCCAAAACATGAAAACTATGAAATTGTAACTACATTTGTGGCAATTGAAAATAGAAACAAGAAATGTGTTTTTTACTTATACATGTAATTACAAAATAAACTGCCCAATCAAGTTGAACTGGACATAAGCAGACTTCAGAGCAGCAGCTCCTAAATGCAAAACTTGAATCTTTCATGCTATGAAGTGATCTTTTTCTGTCTTTTAAGTGAAGCCCATAGAGGTTTTATATTGTAGCCCACCTCATCCAAGACAAACGCTTGGCAAAATTTAGTGCAAATTAGAAATATAAGGCTTCTCTTTGGTTATGGGAAATTAGCAGCATTGCTTACTGAATCCTTGAAGCCGCCTTGTTTGAATCACTGAATCTCTCAAAAACTCCTAGAATAAGTAAGAAGAAACAGGAAAGACTATAACGGCTACCACACTTTGTGCCCTGAGAACATAGAAATTTTTWTTCAAGGAAAAGAATAGGAGAGGAGAAGTGCATAGTAACAGGATTTTACAGTCAGACAGAAGTGTCTCAAGGCTTGCATATTTCTTCACCTGAGTAGGCAGCCTGAGGCCCTGAACAATTCCTGTAACCTTTTATTACAAGGGATGATAATTTGAATTCTGTGCAAGTTGTATGGAMCTATGGATCTACAGAGATAAAGAGCTCTGAATGGAATATGCATTTATA